CTTCCAGTGGCAAGAGATGAGCCCTAGGTGGGGCACTTGATGTGTCCAACTACTAACCCCAGATTAATGCTTTAAAAACCCCGCAGAGGAGTAATTTGGAAGAAAGGCCTGATCCTGTGTCCATAAAGATTACAGCCCAGAAAACCCAGCAGCAATGGATTTTTATTGCTTTTCTTTTCTTTCTAAACGTGCCAAGAGTAAGAGGTACAAAAAGTCCTACAATATCCTCCTCATAGCTATGCTGCAATCTCTTGGCTATACGCTCTGAATGGGACAGAGAGAAATGCACAAGGTTAAATGCTCCTTTTTGTACATGGGATTTCAGTAGTGAGTGAGCATGGACAAGCCCAAAGGAGACCCAAAGTAAGTTGCCCTGGCAAATTAGAGCAAACCTCAGTTCAGAATACACCTAGCATGAGTCATTTCTTAAGTTAAAAATTAAAAAGGACTCGGAAGCTTGTCTTTTTGTCTCATGCATTAACCTCTGAATAAACTGTGAAGTCAAAGGCCTTGGAAATAATTAACTAACCCCCAATGATGAAAATAAAACTATTTAATAAAATAAGAAAGAGGGGAAAAAAAGTCACTTAATGTCTTCAACTTTTTTTTACCCCCGTCTTTCTCCAGGCATTTAAAGGAGCATCCACCGTTCTGACAATTCCTGCAGTGATGGAAAAGCCCTGCTCGTAGTTGGTAAGTGGAACAGAAACACTTCTCTGACAAACCTCTGTCATCAATCATCAGAATCACACAAAGTTACGCTGAGAAAAGTGCACGCAGACCACATGTCCCATTTCTCACTGGACAAAAGGCTGCTTCAGCTATCAAGAGGCCCGTGTGTTCCTGTAACCGTGACGTGGCTACTGCACCCCAAATGACGAGAAAGCCAGACAGGTCTCCGGAACTCACAAAAGCCTCCTGGACCTGATCTGAACAAGTGTTTCCTCCTACCTCTCCCCACAGAAGTTGAGGGTAGTCAACGGCTAAAAATTAGTCATGTCACAGTAATAAGGAATCAAGTGCTGTAACATGGTTAAGCCAATGCCTGTGCAATTACTGTAAAAGGCACAGCACTTACTGTGAGAGCAATCATCAGCCCTGCGGACATACTCTATCATGTCCCCAGACTGCCAATACCTGCCAGCAGATGACACAAGGTGGTTGTCGCTCATCGACTCTGAACCAGACAAATGATCTTCCTGTTTCCTCAGCTGGAGGTTAGCAGAAAAATAGAGTAATTGTGATTCTAATCCTAATTACGGTTTCTCATTTTATAAAACAGCATTCTTTGCATAATTCCCTTGGGACAAAGCATGGCAATAATTGTACATTATAAAAACATTAACGTTTAGGCTATTCTGAATGGTTGTATGCCAGACACGTCATTAATCACTTTACTATATAATCCATTTAACTCTCACCATCTCTAGACTGAGAGTTAGGATTTATCATTACCACGATACAGGGATGGAATATTGACACACGTTAAATTATTTGCCAGGGCTCCTCTAGCTGGTGACTGGCAGAGTTGAATTCCAATCCCTATGACTCTACCGTCTAGTTCTTGAGCCTCTACAAAACACCCACTGCCTTCAAGGAGATTCCAACTCAAGGACTCTATGAAGAGAGTAGAATCACTTCATCGGGTTTCCAAGATTATCAATCTTAACCAAAATATCATATTTTTTCTTCCTGCAGTGGCTTATAGTTTTAAAACATCAACCTTCCGGTTCACACCCCAGCATTTTAACCCCTTTGCCACGAGGGCTCTTTATGCTAACAACAACAACAACAAAGAACAAACTTAATGTCATCAAGTTAACGTGACTCATAGAGATCCATCCCATAGGACAGGGCAGAACTGCCCCTCTGGGTTTCCAAGACCGTAACTCTTTTTTCTTCTTCTTTTTTTGCAGAGAGAAGGGAGGACAGAGACCCAGAAGGGGTGGGGATAGAGACCCAGAGAGAAAGGGGGACAGAGACCCAGAGAGAGGGGGGTACAGAGACCCAGAGAGAGAGGAGTACGAGGACAGAGACCCAGAGAGAGGGGGGTACAGAGACTCAGAGAGAGAGGAGGACAGAGACCTAGAGAGAGGGGGGACAGAGGCCCAGAGAGATGGGGGACAGTGACCCAAAGAGAGAGGGGGACAGAGACCCAGAGAGAGCAGAGCACAGAGACCCAGAGAGAGCAGGGGACAGAGACCCATAGAGAGGGAGGTAAAGAGAGCCAGAGAGAGAGGAGGACAGGGACTCAAGGAGAGAGCCGGGGACAGAGACCCAGGGAGAGCGGGGGACAGTGACCCAAAGAGAGAGGGGGCCAGAGACCCAGAGAGAGCAGGGCACAGAGACCCAGAGAGAGCAGGGGACAGAGACCCATAGAGAGAGGGGGACAGAGACCCAGAGAGAGGGAGGTAAAGAGAGCCAGAGAGAGAGGAGGACAGGGACTCAAAGAGAGAGCCGGGGACAGAGACCCAGAGAGAGCGGGGGACAGAGACCCAGAGAGAGCAGGGGACAGAGATCCAGAGAGAGAGGGGGGCAGAGACCCAGAGAGAGCAGGGGACAGAGACCCAGAGAGAGAGGAGGACAGGGACTCAAAGAGATCCAAAGAGAATAGAAAACAGAGAGCCAAAGAGAAAAGAAGAGCAAGCAAGACACAGAGCTAGAGAAAGAGAGGGACAGAGAGGGACAGTGGATCAGGGGCTCAGACAGGGGACAGAGACCCAGAGAGAGCACGGAGCGTGGGTGGACCAGAAAGGGTCTCACTGAGGTTGATGACCACTATTCCTCTCCTCAGTCCCTTGGATCTCTCTTCGTGGTGATGATATGGGGTCCCTACTCCCCACACCTGCCCTGCCTCCGGAGGCAGCCTCTCAGGATACAAATAGGTTTCTGGACACGGCCTGACTGCCGCCACCCTGGCTGCCACCATCTCATGTCTACGGGACCCTTCAATGCTGTGAGACCTCAGGAGGGAAGCCTGGCATCTCTGAGCCTTCAAAAGGAGTCTGGCCCAAATGGACTCCCTCTGGACTACTCTACCTGTGGCCTGCCTCAGTTTCCCCTCCTGGTATATATATGTATATATATATCTTTTCATATATA